AGTGGTATACCAATTGATATCCATTGGTGGCGAACAGACTGTTCAGAAGTAGGAGTTCCGGCGTTTTGGTGACAATTTCGGTGAATATTCGCCACTGTTTGGAGTTGTGGTCGAAGAGTGTGTCAATGAGTGGCCGACAATCGGTACTAAACCGTCGATGACTGACGAGGAAGTGGCGGATAATTCTCTTAAGCGGTGTAATCATCACAACAAATGGTTTTTCGCCACAATTTATACAACAAATGGTTTTTCGCCACAATTTATACAACAAATGGTTTTTCGCCACAATTTATACAACAAATGGTTTTTCGCCACAATTTCTACACAAATATAAAGTGTTTTCAAGTTTTGATTTACAATTAAAAGTGATTTTTGTGTTACAAATGGTAAACAAACTTCACGTGCTTTTGAGGGACCGTTATGTCAGCGAAATTGGATTCAGAATTTGTATCCGGAATTGGGATTCTGATTTTGTATTACACAATCAGGGTAGATTTGTTTATTTAGTTATATCACTAGTCTACAGTGATTTTTTAGATGAACATTATTTTATGATAAAATTAAAAAACTATTTGAAATTAATAAAATACCAATTACAATTACGTATCTGTAGTACAGATTCTGTACTAAAGTGAATGCAATAATGTACCACAAGTGACAAATGCATTATAATATTTATTTGTATGAAGTTTATGTTAATATAAAAGTTACAGTTTTTATCATAAAATATAAAGAATACACTGGAAATTATTGTAAATTCTTTAAATTATAAAGTTTCCACTTTCTAATTTTATAATAATAAATACTAAAGCTACTTTGTAAACTTTAAGTAAAATTTGTTTCGTTTTGATTCAATAGTGTTGGTCAAAATTAATATTTTTCCTATATCCCAATCTTATACTACAGTATAGGTTAATTTCTACTCATATTTTACAAGCACTTTTGAGTCAAATCTAAACAAATTGTCTTAAAGTTTACATAATCATATTATGATTTCCATACAAATTTACACGTTTTCAATACACTTTGTTAAAAACAGTTATCATTGAATAAACTTTGTAATGCATAATCTAAATTGATGTATTAAAATATAAATACAGATTTCATAATATAAATACATTACAAACATTTTATCCAAAAAAAACAATATCTGAAAAACACGATGATAATCATAATTAATTACACGATTGAGGGCTAAAAAGTTACTTTAACTGAATGAATGCTATCAAGTACTTTAATAAAAACAAATAAAACAAACTTGTCTTGAAAATTGAGAGTCTTGTATCACATTAATAGTAAAATCTTGATAATGTATTTATAAAGAATTAACTCATAAACTAATACTGTATTACAAATAATGTATGTAACATAAAAACTAGCAGTGATCTAGGGAATGGTAAGAAATGCCTACCAGTCCTTGATCTCAACTCCAAACGCCTTTTATATATTCATAAAATAATAATAAGTCGTTAAATAATTTGCTAAACATTTTAATCAAATACCAGTTGAACAAACAAAAACTCAATAATAATATAACGGTTAAGTACGATAAAAATGGCTTTTAAGAATCAGAAAGCCCTGACCGGGGTAAAAATCGGGTTAGAAGTGCTGTATATATTGTCTATTATCGGGTGTGTGTTTATCATCGTGGTCTTAAGCTTAGGATTAACGCAAAAGGAGCAAAAAGTTGACAATAAAACTTGTAATGTATTTGTTAATTATGTTATTTTATTTAAATTATAGTATTGTCTATATTACTATATTATAATAGTTTCCCATGTTTATATTGAATATTATAAATTATGTTTCATTATAATAAAATTAATATATAAATATAATGTTTATAAAAAATTATTAAAATCTTAATATTACTACATTGCTCATCGCATGTCTATCCTATATATTACAGTGACTGTAGGACTGATAGCCGGAGTGTTTGGTCTGTTAATATCGGTCGTGGGTCTGGTGGGTATCATCAAAGAGATCAAATGGATTGTCATAACACTACTGGTGCTGCAAATCATCGCAATTATCCTAAACTTTGTGGGCGGTGAGGTGGGCGCCGGCGTATGGGGTATTGTGTGCGCTATACTGACCGCAGTATTCCTGCACCTCATCATACAGAAGCAAAAGGAGGGCTCACCCGATAATCTGGCGTAGGCACCGGTGCTCTAACCTATTATATCGGTTTACTATTTTTAATTTGAATATATTTCATTAAAAATATATTATTTTTAAGCCAGTATACAATATGAATTCAATTGAATGTCTTTATATATGAGATATTTTAATCTTATATAAATTGTTTAATACAGTATCTATAAAAACTCAAATTTCATACAGCTTTAGTAATCATTAAGATATTACCAAATATTTCAATAAATAAAATAGTTTTCCAACAAATTCATAATTAATTACATGTTTTGAGTAAAAACTAATTTTAATATTAATCGCATGTAAAGAAATGCAATTTTATTATTAATAA